AGAAAGATTCAACTATGCTCATTCGGAATATATAACACTACTCTAGATCTAGTTGCATTTTTAACCGTTTTCGATCATTTTCTCTATAGGTATGAAAACAGCAAAACATTTTGAAAAATATGTCAAAACTCTTTCCCATATAGTTTCTCTACCTGTTGAAAGAAAAGAAAAAACAAAATATGTTTCCTAATACAGCAAAGTGTACCCTATAATACGACGTTATTAGCTTCTAAAAATGTTTAGGTTCTACTCTAATCACTTTGGTTGACCGTTAGCCGGACAAGCTCTATAATAAACTTTACACTGTTTATGTAATATTTTTTTTGATAAAAAGAAATTTATGCAGGTCGTTGTTCATTCATTCCGTTCTTAATATCTTTTTATTCACGATATGACTCGAATCATATTGCATTGAAATCAGAATAATGGAAACATTTTTTTCATTCAGATTTCGTTTGTCTCGAACGATTATATACACAGCACCTGTGATCGAATTCAATACGTGGTATGGAACACCCTCTCTCATACTTTAGAGAGGCCTCATGTAATAATAATACAATGGCGATTTTGTGTATGTACATGCAAGTGTGTGTAGCTTATCTTGACCAAAAAAAAGATATAGTCGTGGATCTTGTTGGAGAATCTTTTTTTTAAATTTTTGCTCGGGACTAGGGAGGACCCTTTTCTGAAAATTTCACCATATACTCAGTTTTTTACACTCTTTCTAATAATGTGATTTTTATCAACTCTGCACGAAATAAAAAATTTCGAACCAGTTGATATATCCGTCAACATGTCTCCTATTCATTTCCTCTTTGTTTAACATGTGTCTGTTGATTTAACAGAACGAAAAATTTCTCTTGTGTTCTACTTGTATTTAACCTCTAGACAACGATAGTCAAGAAATTAATCTGTGTTTATGGAATAACTAAACAAAATATTCAAAATTTGAATAATGATGAAAGTGGAATAATTAAATCGATATTTCTTTAGATCTGACTAGTTGACTTGTACGCATTATCTAATCAAAAAATTAAAAGAATTCAAAATAGATACCGTGTTTAGTTGGTCCAATCATAAACAAACATCTTGATCGAGTAATTCTTCCATCAATACGCATTCGTAAATCATTATTTAACCATTCCTCTATATTCTGTCGGTGTTCATCAGGAATTCTATAACAAAACGAAGATTGCATGGAATATTTGTGGTGACTTTTTACTTAAATGATGATGGAACATATACTGGTTTATATTCCATTGTTTTTTGTTTTTTGATCATTTCTAGGTCATAGTTAATATTGTCTCTTATTTGTTTGCCTCGTACTAAATATTCGAACTTAAGATTATTTTTCACTATAGCACAAGCTAGAAAAAAATATCCTTTAAAGAATATATATGTAAATAAATCATCAGACCGCCAGTAAAAGATTCTTATAAAAAAGCAGCAGCAGCAACATCTTCTTGCTTTTTACGATAATCATCGGTCGATGCAAATTTCTCTTTCTTAGCTGTATATATTGATGATTCAATGTATCTTCCGTTTGCTAATAACTTAATTTCATCATTGAATTGATCGTCTTTTATCACATGCAAGTAATCTGATATTTTCAGATCTATTGAATAAGATATTTAGATAGGATAAGTTAGATTGCAATCTTTACCTTGAAAAAGATAATTGAGAAATTTATGTTTGAAATTTACTTTTTTTGCAAAGCAAAGATGTATTAAGACGAGTTTTTCATTTGATGATTTCGATGTATCTAAAATTTACAATCTATTGATATGATTCATATTAACAAGAACATTACCCGCAACGCATAGATATTGAATTTTAGATTTATTTTCAATTGTTTGTAATTGAACTAATGGGTACATTGTTGCAATGGAAGTGAATACATCCGTATAAGTCATAGATGTCGTGATATTTTTCAGAAAAAAATTTGTTCGATTTAATCTCTCATCATTTTTTTTTGATGAAGCTTTCACCTTGAAGAGTTTTATTTCGTTTTTTGGTAGTTGATTTTTCTGTTATAGTTGATCCCAATGACAAAAGAAGATGATCCGATGCAACTCCAGCAGGTAAAACATTTATTGACTCAACTGGTATTGTATCAGGTGAGTGTTGTTGATTATTTGTTGTTAAATTCAAAATGTTGATAGAATGGTCGATTGAAAGATGATTGACATATCCTGACATGTCTTGTTTTATTGATGTATTGCAGTCGATAATATCAGCGGGTGTTGATGTTTCTATTGGATGGAACATGATCGCTGATTCATCTAGAAATAATTATTTTTCTAAATTTCAGACCAAAAGAAATTCTGTAGCTAACCCGAGACGAAAGTTGATTTGGACGAACATGAACGTGCCGTACAGCTACATGTTGATGAACAGGCGTAAGAAGAGCATGATGATGTACACGTGGTCGACGATGATTTGGCCACATCAGTTAATCGATCAACATTCGAACTTGAACTAGAAGATACCATGTTTGATCTTGAATGAACATAGTCCTATTCACATTAAACTGATTTAAATGTTTTTCTTACCTTGCTACTTCTCGTACGTTCACATGTTCATGTTCAATTAAATGATCATAACAAAATTTGTTTGTGCAGTAACCACAACCGAAATCGACCGCCCGATTAAAACAATACGAGTTATTATTATATTTGAATTTGCAGTGATCAATGAATGGCTAAAAGAGAATGATGAACGTGTGTATAAACAATGGAGTTATCGTCAACGCATGTGAATAATGAGGGAAAGACGTTAATACACTATTTGATAGAAAGAGATTTTTCTCATTAACTAATCAAATATTTCTTTCATTACATGAGCGTCCTAGCGTCCGTCTATGTTAAGGACGCTAGGACGCTGTTTACTAGGAAGAGATTTTTATTACTAACTATTCAAATATTTCTTACATTATATAAAGCGTCCTAGTTTTCCGTTGACATTGAGGACGCCAGGACGCTGTTCATTATAGAGAGAGTTTTATATTATCAATCGCAAAATGAACTCTTATTCATCAATTGAAGTCTTATCAACGTCAACGGAACACTTATTCCAAGTAATAAAAAAAAATTGGTGTTAATACCTGTGAAGTGTTGATTGAAATAGTGTCAGACATCGTGAAAGTTTATTTTTATTTGTAATTCAGGTATGTACTTGTTGCTATCTAGAAGCAGATACGAGCAAGTCAATACAAAAGAAGAAACTGACGGTATAAATCTGTAGTTTCTGAGTAGCTAATTATCAGTGTTATTGCTGAGTATACATGCGAACTCAATAGTTGTTATACACTGCTAGTCAACCCGTTCAAACGAGATTGAAATCAGAATGATAACCGAAAAGTACATAAACAGCTTATATATAGATAGGATATATTTATATGAAACGATTAAAAATGACATAACGAAATGTTAGCTGCTATTCTAGAAGAGAAACTAATGTCTTTTTTCCTCTCTCGTAATTATCATTTGTGATTATATAAACACATTTGTCAGGTGAAAGCTGAAAAATAAAACAGTCATTGATTGTAATCAGTATGAATGATATTGACACAGATCTGAAATGATCCAGACATTTACTGTTACTAATTTGAAAGAAAAACGATCAATTTGACTTTTATTCGAAGCAATTCTTTCATCATATTTTTCTCTTCTTTGTCGTACAGATCAATCAAATATTTTCAGTGCTATAGATTTTAATGACTTCATTTCAAATATATGACACTATGCAACAAACATAAGAGAGAGAGAAGGAGAAAGAGAAAGAGAAAGAATCATAATTACTTGCGACGCATGAAAAGCCGCTGTGTGCTAAATTAGTATACAAATGAAACTATGTATATACATGCATCGCAGGAAGAAGAGAAGGGAAAGCAATATTAGCACATGAATTGATAAATCACTATCTGTCACAGTATCAATACAGAAAGAACTTTGACTAACACATCAAAGAATATATCACAGCAAAACTATTTAAAACCGCCTTTGAACAGAGAAATTTTAATTTTTCTTTATTACTTTCTTCGTGGAACGATAAAATAGAAGAAGCTCATCATAAGAAAATTTTTTTCAAATTAGTTATGTGCCAATTTCTTTCAAATTTTAATCCGATGTAGACAATCAAAATGGTGTCATTGAATAGAGCATAAAAAATTGAGTACCGATGGCTAATTATCTCGAACGGATCTGCTCAAATCGTGAGCAAAAATCAAGAAAAAAGATTTCTCAACAGGTATAGATGTGATCTACTGTTCTCTTTATCTCACTCTCTTCCTTTGAATAATTCGTGTTTTTGCTTTCTGATACATATGCATAAGTATGGATTGGCTAGTATATGTATCATATATAGAACAAAGATCATACAGATCTCTCCGAAGCAGTTTTGAGGGAAGGCTTCTCAGTCAATAAACATAGCATGTTTATTATCAACTTGGTCAATTACACCCATTGCTTTGAGATGTCAACAAACTACTTTTGAGAGTAAGCAAAAAAAGTTCATAAACCAATGAAAAAGAAACGAAAGAAAAATAAAAAAAAATAAAATGGTCCCACTGTAATCCGATCAGTGCTGTGTTATCAATGCTCTTCTCTACCCATATATATGGAAAGTCATTTTCTTTTCTTTTCTCTTCCACGTCGTTTTTCTTATTGATTTAATTTCTGGTTGCAACTAGCGTACATTTAAATATAATATCATCATCATTTATCAAAAAAATTCTCAGTCACGTGTAGAACTATAATTTTAATTGAGTTTTATTGT